ACGAGAAGGGATCGAGAGCAAAATTCAGCGACCAATCAGAAACAAGTAAGGATTATATCATATTATCATATAATTATTAAGAAACATACATTACCCGCGCATTTTTAAATATATTTTAGTATTTATATATATTATTCATAACATTATTTATTATTATTTATATATATACATATACCTATTATAGTATTTATATTTATATTAAATATATTGTAAGAAACATCATTACCGCGCATTATCATGTAATACCACAACACGTATAATTGTGTGTTTATAGCAATACGTAACTGGTCGTTCGATGACGTGTATCATATCAAATCTATAACGATATCGATGATAACAACACCGTCAACATCTACACCGAATACGGTGTAATAAAGTAAATGTAAATCTACCATCTAGTTATTTGCACATATTTTCAATTTTGGTGTGAATCATATTAGTTTTAAATGTTTTAATGTAATGTTAATTTGAAACGTTTTTTGTTATTTATACATAATTAAACGACGATAGCGTTAAAATGCAGAAACCGATTTTGTATTTAACTCAGTTCCTTGTGCTATTCAGCATATTTCAACAAGGATTGAGCTATTTTTTGACTGTTGACGCTCATGCTGAAGAATGTTTTTTCGATAAAGTCGAAGTTGGCTCTAAATTGGGTATGCTTTTTGAAATTGCAATTTTACACATTTGTATAGTAACTTAGTACTTTACACATGTTATACATATAAAATTATTTATGCAATTTTTATTCATTTTTTTTTTTAGGTTTGATGTATGAAATATCTGAGGGTGGTTTCTTAGATATTGATGTAAAAATTATTGATCCTGATGGTGAATTGATTTATGAAGGATTGAGGGAGTCTAGTGGAAAGTATACATTTGCCGCTACCAAGAAAGGGGCGTACACATACTGTTTTAGTAATCAAATGTCAACAATGACACCTAAAGTAGTCCTATTCAGTATGGAAGTAACTGAACCAGAAAAAGTAGATTTAGAAAAAGATAGTCAAAGTAATTATGTTACGATTAAATAAATTATTTTTATATTTTAAGGTAACAACAGCAGTTAGAATATTGTTGTTCACTAAGTTTTCTTTATTAATTTGATAACTCATGAATTAACAAATTTTGTTTTTATGGATTTATCATATTATATATGCTGCGTAGCTAATGTTCATATTCAGCGTCTGGCAATAAAATGTTACATTAACTGTTATAATAACTGTCCATGTGTAATTTTCATATCAAAATATTTCTGTTGTCTATTTTTACCACTTAAATACTACTTAATCTTATTTTAATAGCAGGTATTCAAATTCTAAACACAAAGACAGCATACATTGTAATATTATAAAATATAAATACAAAACAGCAGCTAATTTCTGATTAAAGTTATATCAATTAATATACCTTCTTAACCGCTTAATTACTTATATATGTATATTTAATCAAATTATTTTTATTATAATTTTACAGCTGGTGAAGAAGGTGAACATAAAAAATTAGAGACCATGCTTCGAAACCTGGGATCTGCATTAACTAGTGTCAAGCATGAACAAGAATACATGAATGTCCGTGATAGAAATCATAGAGCTATAAATGAATCTACAAATAAACGCGTTGTCATGTGGTCGTTCTTTGAATCGTTTGTATTGCTCTCAATGACTGTTGGTCAAGTTTATTATTTAAAACGGTTTTTTGAAGTCAGAAGAGTTGTATAATGTTTTAAATGTATTTAACCTTTTTTTTTATATCTTGTCTGTATATTTCTTATAAAATTATTATTTTTTTTTAAAATTAAATAAACTAAATAATAAATGTAATATGGATATTGTGTTTTAAATGACACTACAATTCAAATTTTATTTTGAATTATATTTATTATGTTGTAAAATAGTATTCAATATAATTTAAGATTAAAATCTATAATTATTTTAGCATTGATTAAACAAATATGTGCAGCAATTACGTGATATAAAATATAAAATAGACAGAAATATGAATAATTGATTTATATAATGTTACAATGGTTACTCTTTCTTTAAGGCTATACAAACCTATTATGTTTTTACTGTTGATTTTTTTCTATCACTAAGTAAATATATTTAAGCACAATGTTTTATAATAGAATACTTGATACAAACTACAATTGAAAAAAAATTCTTAAATCAATTATGTTTTTTTAACAATTTTATCGTATTATTTTTTTTTTTAGTTATTATAAAAAAAGTTAAATATCTAACTAAAAAAATGTTTATTGAAGTACTTTTTGTACATTAGGCATTGCACAATTATGATTGTAACAATCTATAACTGTAAAACGAATAACTGCTTAAACTTTAGTTAAATTCTCATTCTTAAAATATTAGTTAATTCATATTTTAGTAAAGAAATAAGTACATGGGTATTTTTAATAAATAAAAATTAATGAATTATAAAAGTAACTGGTTATATATAATTTTCAATGTAGGCATTTACAAATATATTTCAAACACTTATTTATTAATACAATACTATTAAATACACACCAATATGAACAATAAGTCATTTGAGATTCAAAATATTTGTATAGTGTAACGGTATACAACTTCTTGATGTTTTAATTTTACTTAATTATTTCAACACAAGTTTAATATTTTTCACATAATTTAAAACAGTATGCATTTAAAAGTAAAGTAGAATATGTATATTAATAAATATTTTTAAATCACAACAATTATAATTTTCATTAACAATAGTCAATAAAACAATGTTTAAAATAAAAGTTACATTTATTATAAGTAACTTATATAATTGGTTCAGTAATAAATACATTGTAATAATAAATAGTAAATCTTAATTGTGAATAGTTATTAGAATATAGATAAAATATATAAAAACTAATAATAGATAATAATAATTATTAAAAATGTTTATATTTGAACCCTAAGAACAGTATATTATAAGTAACATGTTGATAATTACATGTTACTAAAATCCTTAATTGATTTAATTTATCAGGATTTTAGAATTATTTTAAATAGCTTAAATACGAGGTAGGTATTTGATTTTTTAATTAAATTAACATGTAATAGCTAGAGCTCGATGTTTATAACAACATATTTTTTTGCACAGTCATAATTACACATAAATGCATAAATTGATAATTTCTAGATTTAGTAGCATGTATTTTATGGCACTAGAATTAATTTTGCCACTGGCCAACTCTAAAGATTTGGAGTGATGATTTTCAGTTTACAAAAACATACTGTTAGATAGTCTAAGGTTTTTAAAATTTGAAAATATATCCAAAATTATTGTTATACAGTTTATAAACTAATTTTGATATTTAAATTATTTAACCTACGTAAATGTATTTTAGTTTATATATTTATATTCATAGTATTTTTTTTATATTATGTATTTTGCAATGAAGTTATTTTAAAATAATTTACGAAACAAAAATTGTTTTGAATTACTACCTAAGGTACCTATCATTCCATTTTTTACAATTGTTTAAAATAGATATAATATTTAGAATACATTTAATAGTGTTTATAATTTATTTTGAATTAGTATTAACACCTTTTTTGTGTATATTTTTTAACATATATTTGTTGAAAAATAGGCATATTTAATATATTTGCATATTTTTAAATTTCTAAATGCACATTTTAATGAAATTATGATCATTAACATCCGAGCTCTAGTAATAGCCAACAAATTTTAATATTTATTATTATGATCAAAAATCAGGACTTCACAAGTTTCTGTAAGGCCCTATAATATTACATATATATAAATGATTATTAACTAGGTTTCGTTTTTGAAAAGGGAATGTTTGAAACTTGAAACTTTTCAAATCCAAAAAAACACTTAAATGGTTTAACATAAAGGAAATTCATTTAAAATTTACATTCAAATTTATCTTTATTTACTAAATAACGATTGTTTTGTGACAAGTTGAAGTAAAATTGTTTTCATACCTTCTGTATTTCTATTAGTTCTTAATTTTTCAAGTTCAAAATTATTTTATATTTTAAAGATACATAACTTTTTTTTTTTTAATTAACATTAAAAAAATGTTAGAATATTAATATAATTACTAATTATTAATAATGTATTTATTTAATCATTAGGATCTGTAAAAAATGTGACCACTGATATTTACTATACACATCAATATTATTAAATTACTAATTTTCTTTAAACTAATCTATAGCCTAAACAATTTTTGGTTTTTAAATTTATAGGTATATTAAATATTTGTATAAGTATACATTAATTTGTAATATTAAATACATGACAGATGTCAGGCTTTATAATAGCTACATTTATTTGGATTCTTGATAATATATAACACATAATGTATGTATGTATGTATGTATGTATGAATAAATTAAGATGTTAAGTTGTATTTAAATATTTTTAAGTAGTTTAACAGTTTACAATCTTTTAATTTTTAATGGGCTCTATAAAATAAAATTTAGATAAGGAAACAGGAAATTTTAAAAATATTCATTTTATAATAACTTGGATTTAATTCGTATTTTTTTCTTAAATAAGGTAATCTATAATATATTAGTGTTTAATATTTATTATTAAATATAGGTTTATTTTAAAAGAAATTTTTGTAAACGTTTAAAAGAAAAGTATAAGCCTTTTACCATTGAAATGTAAAAATTATTAATTTAATAAATTCATATTTTTTAAATAATGAAATATGGTTTGATATTTTTGAAGATAGGAGTAACTGATTGTCATATTACTTTACTGAATATATTAAAATATAAAGTAGCAAATTAGATATCAAAGAATAATAATTATTGTGTTCAGATAATCTTTTTAAATACCTAACACAATTTACTCAAAAATTTAAATATTGTAAAATACTATATTTTTTTAGTAGGTATAATTTACAAATATTCTTGAGTATGTAATAATTTTATAATGCTTATTGCTTATTGAGATGACCAAATAGCAGAATAACATAAATAGGTATTCTATAAATAATACGTGGTTGTTTTTGTTGGATATTGGTAATTTATTTTTTATATTTTTACTTTGGATAAATTATTAAGTATTATATAATCATAATTGAGCATACATGATTTATATATTTTTAAAGAATTCAAATTTTATTTATATTTTTTGACTTTTCAGTAAAAAAAAAAAAAATTCATGAATTAGTTGTAATAAGACACAGCTATATTTTATTGATAATAATTTATTTTTAAATAATATTAATTGTATTTTATTAATTTATATGATTATGAAAAGATTTTAATTCAAATTAATTTTAAAATTAATTTATACTTATGAAGCAATTGCTAATTAAATATATAATTTATTTAAAAATATTTTTTTATTTTTAATATTGATTAATTTTGTAGTTAACAAATGTAAAAATAAAAATCATAAAAAAATATCCCATTAAAAATGATCAAAAATATTTAGAATATAAGTAAATTTTCTATAGTGATGGGTATTTTAAATATTTAAATAATTTAAAAAAACATAAAAGATCAACAATAAGGACGAAAATATTTATGATATACCAAGTTAAATTAAAATAAAATGTTTATTTTTATGAGTTTTATTTTATTCGAAAATAGATATACTTATAAATAACTATAACTAAAAATGGAAAAATAAAAATGTTTGTTTTAAGTTTTCATTTAGGTAAAATGTGTTAATAAAATTTAATAAATAAATATGAATTTAATTTATTTTAATATTTGATATAATATTTCTATTAAATTAATACAGAAACATCCAGGTATATTGTGTTTAAAAGTTATAACTACTTAAAAATGTTATACTTATTATTTTTAAAAATGATAAAAAATTAGTTATACTAAATATTATTTTATAATTTGAATAAAATAATATTTAATATAATTAATATATATATATATCACAAGAATAATGTAGTTAAATGTATACATACATAATATAGAATAAAATAATACTTATCTGGATTAACTGTAGAAAACTTTAAACGTTTTGTATTTTATATTATACTAGAATGTTAAAGTAGATTATAAATCTTACTAAATTATACTTGTTTAAAAATCTTAAATCAAAATATGTAGGTAAGTTAATAATAGGAATTATGTTTTAACTATACTATAGTTTATAATAACCTATTTTTAATTTTAATAAATATTATAATATTGAAATTCAATTTCAACAAAAACATTTAATGAATATATTGAAATCTTTATAATTTTTACCTTTTAAAAGGCTAAGGCAGTCTTAAGTATTATTATAATATAAATAATTTAAAGAAATATGAAGTAACAAAATTACTTATAGGTTATAACTATTGATCATATATGTATATATTATCCAAATTATCCAACAATAGTCAATAATATAATATCATACTATCATTTATAAATTTGAAAGCAAGGGCCTCCAAACTTTTTAATACATGAAAATAAACTAAATAAATATGTTATACATTTTGAACCATATAACTTAAACCAAAAACCATTTTTCATAATTCAAAATTAAATTTGTTTTAACACATATAAACTCATCTAATAGTTGAATACTCAGCACATGGTATGAATCAGTAGTATGCTGAACAATTTTCAAACTTGAGGCAAAATATTATTTGACCACTGATGCATCCACAACTTTTGATTTACATTTTTTCCCCCTTAATAGTATAATTTATATTATTAATAAAAACTTTTTATTAAACTAAATCTATTGCTCGGTATCCACCCATATGCTTTCATCTTGAGGCAATTGCCTTAAAAAG